TCCACTGAACTGGAAGCTGAGAGTGCCACCTGGCTACTTCGGGCTCCTCGTGCCACTGAACCAGTAGGCAAAAGGGGGAGGTGCTATACTGGCTGGGGGCATGGATTCTGGCTATCAAGGAGAAATTCCAGGAGGGGGAGGAGGGGATGGGCAAATTCACATTCAACGGATGCAATGTGTGTGCTGTCTGGGGGATGGGCATGCCTGTAGCCCTGACTCTGCAGTGCCAAGGCAATTTATGTAACCAAAGCATTTGTGCTCCCAAATACTCTGAAAAAACAAAACAAAAACAACTTAGCATCCTGATCCTCCTACTTTCGTTTATTGTTTGGAGTCCTTGGGTAGTTTCTTTCTGTTTCTGTCCAGATAGTCCTGTTGTAATTAGTTTGAAATACAGCTCTAGTGAGCTCACGCCAGTATGCTGGACCCAGAGGTCCTCCCTTAATGTTTAAATCAATGTTTCTCAGACATTGAATGACCCCTTGTCGGTCATGGGATCAATTTTGTGGATTATTGGTTCCCATGTTTTAAAAGTAAATACATTAGAGACTAGTCTACATCCTATCGCATTGCATCATGTGTAATAAGAGTAAGTTATGTATTTGAACAAAGGATAAATTGTGGGGGAGGAGGACTATGTTGGAATAGAGAAGATCACCCAGGGTGTCTCTGGGTATTCTCCTGTCTTGTGATTGTACGTTGATGGAAAACGAGAGCAATGCAGTTCAGGCAGGGCTGCCTGTGGACCAGCCTTTCAGAAGTGAGGGTTTGGGTCACTGCACCAGGCAAAGGCCCAGGACCAGGTGAGGTGGCTGCTGTCACCTTGACCAAAGGCCAAGTCCATATGGACTGGGTAGCAGGGAAGGTCGAGCTATACATGTAACTGTAAACGCCAGCCACGACCACGTGACCAGGTGTAGAACTACAGACGGTCATAGTTATAAGTCTTCCTTAATTTGATATGAATGTGTTTATATATATATATATATATATATATATATATATATATACCATGTATTTTTAGTTTCTTTTCCCCTTCTCCCCTTGTTATCTAACATCAGACGTGTTAATGGCGGTTACCTTTATATCTCAGTATTGAAACACAGGATACCAACGGAGCAGTGTGAATCAGCCGAGATAAGAATGAGCATCATCCAAGGCAAAAAAAAAACTATATTGTATTCTCTTCTGGGGAAAGTTATGGCATGTTTTCAGTTTTTTTTTTTTGAGACAGAGTCTCGCTTTGTTGCCCAGGCTAGAGTGAGTGCCGTGGCGTCAGCCTAGCTCACAGCAACCTCCAACTCCTGGGCTCAAGCGATCCTCCTGCCTCAGCCTCCCGAGTAGCTGGGACTACAGGCATGCGCCACCATGCCCGGCTAATTTTTTCTATATATATTAGTTGGCCAATTAATTTCTTTCTATTTATAGTAGAGCCGGGGTCTCGCTCTTGCTCAGGCTGGTTTTGAACTCCTGACCTCGAGCGATCCTCCCGCCTCGGCCTCCCAGAGTGCTGGGATGACAGGCGTGAGCCACCGCGCCCGGCCTTGTTTTCAGTTTTGCCAGGCAGAACTGGGGGAGAAGCAGCAATGGGTAAATGTGGTCTCTTGTCGGAGGTGAAGCGTGGTGTGAAGAGGTGTGCACGGCTGCAGGTTGAACGGGGCGGACTGCGGTGGCTTTGTGACACGCTGAGTTGGTTAGACTGCACTTCCCAGAGCTCCCTTTTTGGTATTTTCGAGGTAGGCTGGGCCACAGGAGAGAGCCCTGGGGGAGATTTGGCAATGGGGGTGCGTAGCAGCCGCTTAGACACTCACACGCATGTTGTCGCTCACTCCATTGGTTCTGAGACTGCCCCACCTCCCCTGGGTCCTCCTTCACCTTCTCCGGCTCCTGGGCCAGGTGTGCGTGTCCCCCCGTGGTGAAGGCGCTGGCTGCGGCAGGCACCTGAACCACCGAGGTCTGAGGCCACAAGGACCGACCTGGGCTTCAGTCCGTCTCTGTGGACTCCAGCTTCGTCCTTGCTCTCCCCAACTTTACGCACATCTTCCCCTCCTGACTTCCTGCACCTGCCGGCTTCGGGTTCCAGCGTCAGACTCAAAGACAAAACCGGACAGAGCCTGTTGAACCAGCTCTCCAGTGGCAAAACATCAAATCCAGTAGGCACGGCAGCACAGATTTGTTGAATGAGTGAATGAATGAATGAATGAATGAATGAATGAATGAATGAAATGAGTCCCACAAAGCTGAGTCTCCTCTGCCTATGCCTACCCATGAAACACTGTCTATCCGTCTGCAGCTACATTTTTTTAAAACTTTAAAAGTCCAGCATTTTCCATCAAGTAAAATGTATTCAGTGGAAAGGAACATTCTACGGGCACAACTTTGCCACTTTCCCCTGATGTTAAACATACTGTCTAGTGGGTAGCTAGAGCCTTGCACACTGTGAGTGGTGGCTCATTAGAGTGGTTCATGAGATCAGTTTAGAAGGGCCTTTTGAGATGAGTCTTTATCCTTAAAAAAAAAAAAAAAAAAAAAAAGAAGGGCCTAACTAGCATTTTTTAAAATTAATTAAGTAGGAGAGAAGAGAGATTTCAGAGCATCAGGGTTTGTCGCCAGCTGTGTTGTTTGGGGAAAATTTTGTCATGTGGCTGCATCCTGGGTGAGATGTCAAATGACTCTCTTACAGTCCCCAAACTTTGAAAGTCACTGTGGTTGACAGCAATGCTTTTTAGTTTGGTAGCTTTGTTTCGTTTTCCATGTCCTTATCCGCAACATTTTTTTTCTCAGACTTTCCTAAGTCTCTGTCTCCCAGCCCCCAGGGACCTGAAGGGTGAAGACCACTGAGCTCCGGGATTTGAGGGAAGGAGATTCCTAGAGAGGCCTGGCTCGGAGGCCAGGGAACTTCCTGTTCCGGCCGGCCCCACCCCCATGCCCAACTCCCCTGGCCCTGAGTGCCAGTCCAGCTGCCCCCACCTGGTGACAGCGTGGTGGGGCAGGGAGCACAATGGGGCGGCTGCTTGCTGCCCTCCATCCTCCCTCCGTGCCAGGGGACAGCCCCTCACTGACCCTTGAGAGCCAGGGGGAGGGCGGGGGGGGGGAGGGTTGGAGGTGAAGCCAGACACCAGCCATCAAGAAGTCACATGACCTGCCAGGAGCTTCCCCTCTAGACTAGTTGGCTGAGCTAATTACATCGTAAATTATTTTCCATTTTCTGCCTAGAACCTTGCTCTGGACACTAATGCATGAGCTCATTAAACCTGCACCACAGCCCTCTGTGTGTGTGCGTGTGTGTTTGCGTGTGTGCGTGCGTGCATGTGTGTGTAACCGGTGAGGAAGAGCAAGATGCAAATCAGTATTAGATGAACGAGGGGTTGGATGAATGAATGAATGAATGAATGCCTACAGGCAGGGACTGCAGGGCCCTGGTACTGCAGTGGACGGCATTTTGCAGAGAGACAGACAGCCCCAGAGCTGGGAGGTCACTTGAACAGGGTCACACCGGCAGGAAGCCACACCCATGGCTAGACACTGGAGGTCCAAGCCAATGACTGCTGTGCTTAACCTGCCCCCCCCGCACCCCCCCGCACCCCCCCTCCCCGACTTCACAACAACCCTGGGGTGTAATAAGAAGTCAGTTATATGGCCTGGTGCTGTGGCTCACGCCTGTATTCCTAGGAGGCCGAGGCGGGAGCATCGCTCGAGGTCAGGAGTTCGAAACCAGCCTGAGCAAGAGGGAGACTCCATCTCTACTAAAAATAGAAAGAAATTAATTGGCCAACTAAAAATATATAGAAAAAAAATTAGCCAGGCATGGTGGCGCATGCCTGTAGTCCCAGCTACTCAGGAGGCTGAGGCAGGAGGATCGTTTGAGCCCAGGAGTTTGAGGTTGCTGTGAGCTAGGCTGACGCCACGGCACTCACTCTAGCCTGGGCAACAAAGTGACACTCTGTCTCAAAAATAATAAAAATAAAAATAAAAAGAAGTCAGTTATAATAGTGAAATAACATAATGGCTAACGCTTATGGGGCACCTCCTGAGTTTTCTATAAATTTATTTATTGCATAGAATTCCTCATAGCACTCTCCCCCTACATTTTTATAACCCAGAAGAAAAAGGGATTTGAAAAAGTGTCGTGCTCAGTTTTAACAAAATACAAAAACGAGCATCAGGATTACTGACGTGTTAATGTACTGAACTGAAAAGTTCCCAGAAACCGACGGGCGATGGAAACCGGCGACTCGGTTCACAGGTGCTGCTTGGTGTGCTCCAGACGGGCCTCGCTGGAGGCTGTGTCTGCTGTCCTGCCCGTCTGGGGAAGAGGAGATTGAGGGGCAGAGCGGGCGCCCTCGTGCAGGGCGCAAAGCTGGAATCGGGCGCCTGGCACTGAGGGCTCTGAGCTGCGGGGTGCAGAGTCCTCTGTGCCAGGTCTGTGCTGGGCACTGGCTGACAGCCGTGACCCCCACGGGTTCACAACGTGAAAGCTTCAGAGAGAGGAAGGCACTGCAGGGTGGTGAGATTGGGCAGGGAGTGTAGTCAGGGAGGGCTGCCTGGAGGAGGGGACATCTGGCTGAGACCCAAGGGCTGAGAAGGAAGCAGCTTTGCAGAGTTTGGAGGGAGGGTGTCCCAGGCAGAGGGGGACGGCAAGCACGAAGGCCTGAGGTGGGAACAAGCTTGGTGTGTTTGAGGAACAGAAAAGAGGAAGTGAGGCTGAGGCAGGGAGGGAGGGAGAGGGGAGGGGCAGGGAGGTTTTGGATAGGGGAGGGTTTCTCAGCAGCTTAGCAGACTCCAGAGCAGAGAGTGGGACATGGGGTGTGGTCTCCCAAGTAGGGTCTGCTTCCATCTGTTGGCCCCTCCTTCCCCCTCCCCCCACCCTCCTCCCCCGCTCAGCCTCCTCCACCCTCCTCCCCCTCCACTCCTCCCCCTCCCTCTCCTCCTCCTCCTCCTCCTCCTCCTCCCAGGCAACATCTGCCCCTCCGCTTCCCCTGCAAGCTCTACAAAGGACTCACGGGTTCCTTCTGGGCAGGAGTGGGCATTCATTCCTTCATTCCTTCATTCCTCCATTCATGTATTTATCTGCTCATTCAGCAAATACCGATTTGCCTCGGGTCTTTGGCCCTGTCCAGTCCCTCTGCCTGAAACACTGACTTCCTGTCCCCCAGGGCTCTGCTTCCGATATTGCCTCTTCCCAGACCTTCCCTGAACATCCCCCCACCCCCCACCCCTGCACCCCCCTGTACCCCCTGCACCCCCTGCACCCCCCGCACCCCCGTGGCCTACCTAACTTAGCCCCTCCCATCAGCAGCTGACCTGCTCTTAGTGCTAAAACAGGGTCAGCCGGGGCTCCCAGGGGCTCTCTCTCTCTCTCTCTCTATATATATATATATGAGTTAACAGTGCCCTGTGGGCATTCATTTACCCGTATTTTCCTTCGGGAACCCTCTTTCCCTCCTCTTAGCCTATGTGATTCGGATAGAGCCAACCTCATACCCCAGATGCAGAAATGAGCCCACCATCCAAGCAAAGCCACGGGGAGGCAGATTTTGTTCTCCTGTGTTTACTTTTCTGCCAAGCTGTAAGGCTGGAACTGCTGGAGGTCATCTCTGTCCCCAAGAGGAGAGAACCTGTATGAAAATGGAATCAATATTGAGGAAAGCAGAGGGGAGAAGGGGAGAGAGGCACAGTCTCGAGCCTATTGGTTAAGCACCTGGATCCAGCCACACCTGAAATTCAAACTCCCCCGGACTTTCCATTACAAGAACCAACAAATCCCCTTTGTGCACAAGCTAGTTTGTGTTTCGGTCACTTGTGCTAGAAGGCTTGAGTGATAATAAAACCTCAAAGACAGGCAGGCTGTAAAGGGTAGGTACTTTCCTCTGGAGGGATGTGGCCAGTAGCTTCCTTCTCTCAGAAATCACCCCGCCTCCAGGGGCCCCTATTCTAAGAAGCCTGAGTGTTTGAAGTTTGTTCAGCCTGAGGCATAAAAGCAAAAGCAAAATGCTAGGCCGGGAGTGACTATAGAGACAGCCACTGCTGCAGGCGCCAGCAACTGGGAATCTGCATTATTAATAAGCAAATACATTTTCCTTTACTCTGCTTATTTAAATGAGGGCCCTCATTTTATTAGCCTGTTTACATGTATTCAAGAAAAGTAGGCCGGGCGCGGTGGCTCACGCCTGTCATCCTAGCACTCTGGGAGGCCGAGGCGGGCGGATTGCTCGAGGTCAGGAGTTCCAAACCAGCCTGAGCAAGAGGGAGACCCCGTCTCTACTAAAAATAGAAAGAAATTAATTGGCCAACTAATATACATAGAAAAAATTAGCCAGGCATGGGTGGCGCATGTTCATAGTCCCAGCTACTCGGGAGGCTGAGCAGCAGGAATCGCTTGAGCCAGGAGTTTGAGGTCTGCGTGAGCTAGGGCTGACGCCACGGCACTCACTCTAGCCTGGGCAACAAAGGGAGACTCTGTCTCAAAAAAAAAAAAAAGAAAGAAAGAAAAGAAAAGTAATTTTACCGCAGGAAAAATGTTTTCTGTCTCTTTAAAAACTTCCCCCAGCCTCGGCTGAACTGTCCCCTGGGGGTGGAGGTCTGGGTGGGCTTCCCAGGTGGGCAGAGGCTTTGTCTTGGCCAACAACTTGGGAGAATTAGGATCGTTAGCAACAACAGCCTAGAACCCAGGGCCCTCCCTTTAAAAGCTCTGTGTTTTTGCTTATGTTCAGCACACTTTGGATTTTGAGACTGCCATTTTTCCTCCTTTATTGGCAAAGTAATGAACTTCTCTTTCCTTTTCCTCAACCGCTTGTCCGCATTCTGATGCAGACTCTGTGCGCAAGTGCTGAGCTTTTGGTAACAGTAAGCTCAGCCTCTGCGTGGCCTAAGCCAGTCATAGTTCTCCCGTCTCCCTGTTAGTGACCGGTTCTGGAGGGGGCCGTGACATGTTTCTTGACATGCCCGGAAGATGCAAGGGGCCAGTCTGCTGTGGGCTGGTCATCTGGAGGCTTCTGGGATAAAATGTTTTTGTTCTTAATACTCAATCCAGGAGGTGGGGTGCTGTGGCTCACGCCTGTAATCCTAGCACTCTGGGAGGCTGAGGCGGGAGGATCTCTTGAGGCCAGGAGTTCGAGGCCAGCCTGAGCAACACAGCAAGACCCCACCTCTACAAAAAAATAGGAAAAGCTAGCTGAGTGTGGTGACGTGAGCCTGTAGTCCCAGCTTCTCAGGAGGCTGAGGCAGGAGGATCGCTTGAGTCCAGGAGTTTGAGGCTGCTGTGAGTGAGGCTGACACCACTGCACAATAGCTCCAACAACAGAGGGAGACTCTGTCTAAAAAAAAAAAAGAATGCAAGAGAAAGAAACCTTCTTTTTCTGCCTCTCAGAAAAAAATGTGGCAGCGTGAGGAGGCATTAACTGGCATAAAATGAGACTCTTTCAAACTCTTACTCTAAACCAGAATTATAATAGAGTCATATGTTTTTGTTTTCCCTTCCATCCGCATGGGAGAAGAGGGGGTGGCAATAATATTCTTCTGGTTTAACAAAGAAAAAAAAACCCTCATAAATATTTATCCTTTGCAGAATCTACATGCCAATTTAAGTATTATTCCCGGGGCAATAAATTATTAAGTAAGGCAAGAAATCAGAGTTACAGATGTTGGAAGGTTAAGGTTTCCTTTGAGAAGACACGCTAATGATCTCTGCAGTCCCCGTGGTCCACAAAGAATATTTGCAAGAGCAGTTTCGTGATGCTGAGGAGTGTCTGATTTTGTGCGGCTACAAAGAAAGAGATCATTTTGCTCCTTAACTTTCTGCAGTTTCTTTCACCAGAACTTAAAAGAGCTTCTAATCCTCAAGAGCTAGAATCCCGTCGGTTAGCACGGAGACCAAAATCAGAAAGGCCGAACACTTCAAATACGGAAAGGAGACGGGCCGAGGTTGTTTTTAGCAAAAGGAAGTGTAAGGTGCAATGTAAAATTGGTTCGACTTTTCTGCAGGTTTGAAAGTTTTCATATTTAAAAGTTAGGGGAAAGCCGGGCGTGGTGGCTCACGCCTGTAATCCCAGCACTCTGGGAGGCCAAGGCGGGCGGATTGCTCAAGGTCAGGAGTTCGAAACCAGCCTGAGCAAGAGCAAGACCTCGTCTCTACTATAAATAAAAAAGAAATTAATTGGCCAACTAATATACATAGAAAAAATTAGCCGGGCATGGTGGCGCATGCCTGTAGTCCCAGCTACTCGGGAGGCTGAGGCAGGAGGATCGCTTGAGCCCAGGAGTTTGAGGTTGCTGTGAGCTAGGCTGATGCCACGGCACTCACTCTAGCCTGGCAACAAAGTGAGACTCTGTCTCAAAAAAAAAAAAAAAGTTAGGGGAGCACAAAAAAGCCCATCTATAGCAGATACCCAAAAGAATCGTGCCTCAAACCAGGCAGAAAACTCTCTTTCTCAGACACAGCCCAGCCGGGCCCTTCTCCCCGGCTGTTGGGCCACCCAAGGATGTCTGTTGTCCCCCGTGGCTCAAGACCACCTCGTCCCCCATTCCGGGGTGAGAGAGGAGAAAGCAGGAAGAAATGGAGAATCTGCCTATCGTTGAAAGTAGCAAAGATAACCAATAGAAAAACCAACAATGGCGATGACCACTATGAACAATGACTGACAGCTCGTATACACAGCGCCTTGACCCTGGGCAAAGCCTGCTCTGAGCGCCTTGCAGAAATTCACTTGTTCTCTCTTCGCTGCTACCTGGAGACGTTATTCTCGTTTGCAGATGGGGACACCGGGACTCGGGGAGCTTGAGTGGCGTCTCGTTACATAGGAAGGGGCAGGACACAAAACCTCCCCTCCCAGGGCAGGAAGTGAGCGGAGATGGCTCTGTGGGTAACACCAATGAATCACAAAACAGCGGCACAGACATCTTGTTAAGAACTGTGGAAGTTCTGAGGGTCACCTTGTCGTGGCCCGCTTGCAGGACGGAGGATGAACACAGAACACAGAAAGACACACAGACACACACAAAGACGGTTACAAGACTGCAGTGCAGAACGCACCAGTCGTTTTATTTTTATACCCCCAAAATCAAAGTCAGTTCCTTGTACGTGCCCACCCAGGCATTTCAGCAATGGCCATAAATTCTGGAATGCGTAGCCTTAGGGAAGCAGATGTACCCTGACTCAGAATCTCCAGGTGGTTGCTCTAGGCGCCAGGCATAGATCACGGACCGAGATTAGCAAGGATGGGCAAGGCAAGCCACACGGGGCATTTCTCATCCCCAGCTTCTGTTAGGGTGACCCCCTGAGATCTTAGGCTGACCCCTGGTGGCTGTGCCTGGCTTAGGTCGCCCCTCTTCTTGAGGGGCCTTACCCGTCATTGACTAACCAGCCGTCTTATGGGGCCTGAGCAGCAATCACAGGAACAACGTGTTTATCGTGTGGCCTCCAGACCCCCATTGTCATGGGGCTGGGCAGCTCTTGCTGACTTGCAGCTCAGGTCCTTTGTTATGCCTCTAGGCAACAGCCTTGTTTATAACAAGGGCCTTGTCCGGAGCTCATTGCTTTTAAACGCTCTGGGCAGAACACGTACTTTACTCACTAAATTTAATCCTTAAACTAGGAACATATATGTCAGTCCCCTACACATGCAGCAGCGCAGGGTGGGAGATGCTATCGTCTCCGGAGGAGGAAGGAAGCGGAGGGTGGGGAGAGACGGGCGTCCGGGCACTGAGACGACACCAGCTCGGCGGCCGTGCGGGACATGAGGCTGGAAGCCATGGATCTCGGAACCTGCAGGGCTTCCTCCGGAGACCGCAGGAGTCGGGGTGTCTCATTCACGTGCGCGTCCACACCCCACTCATATCTGGGCAGAGGGGCAACGACAGCAGAGCCAGTGGTCGGGGTTTGGGCGCTGCCACCGGAGCCTGGACATCGTGCCTGCAGAGGGGCTCCAGCGTGGCAGCACGAGGCGGGAGGAGTCCACGTGGGCACATCCTGGGGCTGCGCCAGCTCTCCCAAGGCAGAGTTGAGTGACAGCCCCACCAGGGACAACAGGAGGCGTCCGGGAAGCACGTGCTCTGTGCCGGGCGCTCTCCTAAGCACGGCATGTGTAGCCTCCACTTAATCTTCCCAACAGTAAGGATTAGGTGGGTGCTAGCACTAATCCCACTTCACATATGGGGAAACTGAGGCACAGAGCAATAACCCCCATGAAAGGCAGTGGAGACCCGCCTATGAACTTCCCACCACACATGGTCACCATGGAGTAAAATGTCCTTAAAGGAGTTGGTGGCAGGGCAGGGACCGTGCAGCCGAGGCAGTCTGCTGGGTGAGCTAAGTGCCCGCCTGGAATCCAGCCCTGCCACGTGCTGGTCATGAGACTATAGGCAAGTGATCATCCCTCTGTGAGCCTCAGTTTCCCAGCTGCAAAATGGGGGCCGTTGTCCCCAAGCCCACAGGCTGGCGTGAGAACCCGGTGAGAACAAAGCACGCTTGTTGTCTTTGTTCAGGGACAAGTGGCACTGCCTGCTTTCCACTCCTGCGATGTCATTACATTACCCAGTTCTCACTTGGCAGACAAATCAAAGGGCTATGAATAGCCGTGTCTTGGTTTCTCATAAATGCATTAAATATGACTTGGCATCTTGCCCAGGCTTCCTGTCGGGGCGGTGGGCAAGGACTGTTTTGCAGAGCTCTGACAGGTGTCGAGGTTGTGGTCACGTGCAGATGCCTGAGGCAGGGCTCAAAAGGAGCCCCAGCTGTCCGGGGCCTCAGGTATCGTCACCCCAGCCCTCACCATCTGG